TTTGATGCTCAGTCAGGAGGTAAAAGGAAATGGTCATGATGTCAGAGCCTATGTGTCACTTCAGCCTTAACCTGGCTTGCTTTGTGGTAGGGGTGTGATTTTCAGTGCTCTGTGTGAGCTTTTTAGGGGTGTAGTCACATTCATCAGAAGTACCTGTGCTCATTTCTTTTTCTTTGTAAACTATACATACCTACCCTTTTCCCCCATAATTTTGATCCTACCCCACACTTGCTATCCTGTCTTCCTCCCTTCTTTCTGCCCCATTTGCCCCTGTGATAACTAATTTGGGGAGTATCAGCTGTATGTCTGACACTTTGAAATGCCATACACATCTCTTATTTAACATTCATAATAACCCCAGGAGGGCGGTATACTTATTATCTGCATTTTCAAGGAGAATAATATAGTTTAGTTACTTGTCTACTAAGCTTACACAGCGAGGAAGCCCTAGAATCAGGATGTGAGCCTGAGTTATTTAAAAACATTTTTTTCTATTGAGGTGTAATCACAGTAAGATGCCCAAGTCATCTTAAGTCTATATCCTAATGACTTCACACACACACTCTTACCTGTGCAATTACCTAGGTCAAGTTTCTGTCACCCAGAAGGTTTCCTTTTGCCCATACTCCCTTCATTGACCATACCCCTCACCCAAGACAATCACTCTTCTGATGTCTGTCACTGTAGAAGACTTTTGCCAGTGTTAGAACATCATATAAATGGACATACCATTTGTAGTCTTTTGTGTCTAGCTTCTTCTCCCTTATTATTATGTCTATGAGATTGATTTGTGTTGTTGCATGTAACAGTAGTTGGTTCTTTTTTATTGTTGTGTGATGTTCCATTGTTTAAATGTACAATAATTTATTCTTTTATTGATGGATATTTGAGTTTTTATTATTTTATTATATATGTCTTTTGGTGGACATATACACTCATTTCTCTTGGGTATATATCTAGAGGTAGAATTGCTACATCATAGGATGACCTAGCATTGCTAGGTTTAGTTTTAGTAGATATTGCCAAGTGGTTTTATCAATTTATTCTTCCAGCAGAATGTCTGAGAGTTCCAGTGGCTCTACATTCTTGTCAGGCCTTGGTGGTCTTGAATGTGCTCCATTAGAAAGGGTGTTTCTTATATTTTGTTTTGGTTTTCATTGCATTTCCCTGATGCAATATCGGGCCCTTTTTCTTATGCTTTTTGGCCATTTGTTTGTCGTTTTTTTACGAAGTGCCCATTCAAGTCTTTTATCCATTTTATTAATTTGGCTGTTCATTTTTTTTCTTATTTGTTGACATTTTTACACATTTTAGATACAAGTCTCTTTGGTGATATAAATTGCAAATATTTTCTCTTGTTCTGTAGTTTGCCTTTTCACTCTTTTATTGATATCTTTCGATGAATGGAAGTTCTTCATTTTGGCGAAGTCCCATTTAGCCATATTTTTTCTTTATGAACAGTGCTTCTTGTGTGTGTGTGTGTGTGTGTGTGTGTGTGTGTGTGTGTGTGTGTGTGTGTGTTTAAACTCATTGCCTTTTCATCTCTTGGGTATTTTGAGGCAGAAACAAAAGTGGAGAGCCACTGCTATAGAAAGTAAGCCACAGTGAAACTGGACACTATTAGATTCTCATTTTTGATTGACCTAGAGTGCTGTCCTGAGCCCTCATGTTTATGAAGCACTTTGTATTTTATAGAGTCCTCTATCATTTGATCTTGTTTGATTCTGTTCAGCTCACTGAAGTACTGGCAGCAGGACCTAGTCCATTTTGATGGCAGAGGACTTCGATGGTCAACATTAGCTCTCTGGGGACTGTGGCACCTTCACATTTGCCATGGCCTTATGTGCAAGAGTGAAGCATTAGATTGCTGAGTTCAGATCCTGGCTCTGTGACTGTGGACTAGGTACTTAACCTATTCGAGCCTTAGTTTTCTCATCTACCAAATGGAATCATGAGAGTATATCAACCTCATGATGTCATTGTGAAGATTAAATGAATTAATTTATATGTAGTGCTTAGCAGGGCATCTGGCACATAGTGCTGGGTTACTACTGTACTTCTTATTTTATTATGGTGTTTGAAAGGATCCCAGTTCTTTTTGGAATTCCACAGAGCTGTGATCACTGATTCCATTTCTCTTTCGTTGTGTTATATTTTCCCTTCCTCATTCCACCTCCCAACCTTGTGCATTCTCTTTCTTTCTCTCTCTTTCCACTTTCGTTATGAAAAGCCAGATACATTCCAAACATGAACTAAATTGATGCCCCATATGAAAGTGAGCTCTCTTACCCAGTAGTAGAATCATTGTAGTCAAGTGTAGTGTAGTTAAGAATTTTGCTCCTTTTATTTTGTTCTGAGGGACGGTGGCTAGTAGGGGCATAGGGAGGGTAAATGTAGAAAGAAAGTTGCTGCTTTATTCCAAAATAAAGTTGACTCATTTTCCTTGGTTCTAAGAAATCCACACATAAGAGATTTACATAGTAGTGATTTGAATTGTAATGAAGGAAAAGAAACTTGGAGCCTGAAGGACTGTTTTCTAGCTGCCTAGGAAGCACTATGATCCAGATGTACCTACACAAGTCCGAGAGAAAATTATCTGAATTTGGGATGATAGGATTAGAAATGAATATGTTAAATCCACTTTATTCATTTCTCCACTACTCCTCCCCAAACAAAAAGGGAACAAAACCACATGTGGAAAATAACTTGTATTTTGATATTTCTTCTTGAAATGAAAACAAATCCTGTTGACTTTCCTGATTACTAAGGCCAAGTGGCTTACTCTTCACAGCCTCTGAGTTTGTGTGAACTTCCTCTCTGTGGCCCTGGGTAAAAATTTTTTACTGTGTGCCATGAAGTTGATGTGACATCTGCGAGGTCCCTGCGAACTTGGTATGCTAGGCAACTATTGTGGTCTCACAGTTTGATGATGAGCACCTAGCAAGAAATGACCTGGAAACACGTTGACTACTTGACCCCAGTGTAGAGAGGAGGGAGTCTTTGCTCTCTAGGGCGGTAAGCCTCAGACCTAACTGTACATCAGGATAGTTGGTTAAAATCCAAGTTCCCAGGCCTAGCTCAGAAGTTCAGATTCAGTAAAGTAAAGTGGGGTTGGGCTGGGAATCTCCTTTTGAAGGGAATGCCTGATTCTGAAGCCTGTGGTCCAGGCACAATACTTTAAGAAACACTCAGAGATCATGTCCAGAGACTTCAGGGTTCTACAGTGGACAGTAGCTTTGTAGACTTTTAATTTCAAAGTCTTAATGCTTTGTGTTCAGCTCTTTGAAAGGTGGAAGGGTAGAAACAATCCACTATGTCCCCAAACTACAGGGTCATCTTTGTGGAGTGTTGGCTGCCAGCACTCTGCAGACACCAGTGGGTCTGGCACACTGAATGGACTGATGGTGGGAAATGGTCACCTGGATCTGAGAATGAGAGTTTCTGAGAAGAGGAGGGAGAGCCCAGGCAGCTGCTGGTGTAGAGAGAAGTTATTGTGTCTTCTGTGTCATGTTTATGCTATAGTGTCAGTGCCAGATGTGGCCTCCACAGGAATGACCACCTTCTTAGGAATGAGTGTCTGTCCCATCATCTGCCTTTTATGCTCAACACACCTTCTCACCCACCCACTTATACCCTCACCCTCACCACTACCCCCCACCACACTTATTCACAACCTCACACATTCACACCCTCACCCCCAGCGCCCGTTAAATTGTCATCCTTTCTGTACTTAAATGCTTACATCTGTGAAACCTTTTTTTTTTTTAAGGGAATGTTGAGGGATGATCAGTGAAAAGAAGCAAAAATGATATTTAAAGTATGTTCAACATAAATAGGTCTAGCATATTTGTTGGAACTATGGAAATAAGCCAGGAGCAGTGATTATAGATGGGTCAGATGAACAGGCTTCAGTGCTTGTGGGGCCCAGGCTGGCGGTGCTCAGGGCATGGTCAGCCTGTGTGTTTCACTACCATGCTGCTCTGTGATCATTAGCAGTTCTATGGACTCAGGTGATAGTAAAACTTATTTTCCATATAGGAGATCTCTTCATCCCTTTTAGGCTTTCTCAAATTTTAAAGATGAGGGTTTACATCAGCAATTCTTAACTTTTTGAGTTACAGTCTTCTTTGATCTTATAGTTTGAATTGTTTCTACAGAAAAATACTTATACATTTAGAAGAAGGAAAGTGGTTTATGGACTCTCTGGGGTCCGTCAGTGGCCCCTAAATAGAGAAATGCTTTAATGAGCACAGATTTCTCCCAGGTTAGTTTTGATGGCACAAGTCTCTTCTCATGGAGAGCCATCTGTAATGGGAACTCAACAAATACCACTTGATATTATATGCATTCTTTCTGGAGGGATTGAGTTTAGTTTGAAAGAGCAAGCCAATTTCAATGAAGCTGAAAGAGCTAATGCATGCATTTAAACAACTTAGCACCTGACATGGCAAGTATTCACTTAAAAAATACTATACGTTTAATCATAATTACAAAGTCGATTAACTTCATAAAACTTCTCCAAGTCAAAAGCAGTTTAGAAGCATTAGACTAGATATTAGGAGACCAGGATCCCTCCAGCTTGGTATTTCCCCCTCTTTTTATCTCAAGTCCAATAATTTCATTCACTTCAATACAAATTTATTGCTTTCCTTCTATGAGTAAAGCACTCTGTTAAGCATTTTGGAGAAAAAGAATGAATAAGATCTCAAGGAACAAACTTTACTCATCTGTATCCCTTACCTGTAAGTAGAGTCATGTATTCTGTTTCTTCGTACCTCCCTGGGACACATGGGCTTATTTAAAAGGATTTGGGGTGCTGGCTTTGCTTTTTGAGATTGGAAGGTGGCTCAGAAAAGCCAAAAGGTATTATACTTTCTTTATGTTGTTAGCCTTAGTGTGATGCTCATTTTATGGCGTGAGTGTTTCTTTAAGGGTCACCTTCATCAGGATCTCTGTACCTTTGTCACTGGGTTCATATGCATGTCCTCCTTTCTCCACAGGCCAGGGGTTATCACCATGCAGGCACTGTCAGAAGAGGACCGGAGGCTCTGGATGGAAGCCATGGATGGCCGGGAACCTGTAAGTGCAATTCTGGGAAGTAGAGCAAGAATAAAAGTCCTGAGTTGTCCGTTGCTTCCTGGGTGTGGTGATCGTTGCTGGTGCTCCAAAGCTTGGGGTCTCGAGATCAGTGTAGCAGAGGGAGTTTTTTTTTTATTCTTGGGCTGATATTTGTAGATGTTGATCTTCTGTGTGGGAGCGGTCCTTGAGCTTCAGCCTCTTTGTCTAAAGCATGGGTTCTGCATGATACTACACCAGAACTTCCCCTTTGCAGAGGCAATTATAGCTCCCCTAAGTCTCTTATAGGAGGCGGAGTCCAGTCTGGTTTACTGTATATTTATTGATGCCTCCACAAAGCATTATCTCAGTCCCATTTCAATGGGATAAATGATCATAAAAGTGTATTCATATTATGTGGTATCTTTTCTCACGGCCTTCTGGTTCAGCCTCCCCTTACTATAGTAGCCCACATCCCATTATATGCTGTGCGATTATCAGGGTCAGTGGAAGGGGTTAAGCTGGTAATGTGATCCATGCTCCCATTTCAGAGATGCTGGTCTCCACTGGGTGATGTAATCTTGTGATTGTTTTGTATCTTGTGACTCGTAAAACCTACTTAGCCCTGCAGAAGACCCAAGAGTCAGAGTAGTTGTCTTATCTCGGTGCCAAGAGTATCCACTCCAGTGTTTAACAAATCTCAAGGTTACAGAAATCCTAAGAGAACAATCTAACCATGTCTCACCAGTAAGAGATAAAAAGAATCCACAGTGGCAGAGGGTCAATAATTATCACTTGCAAAAGGGACTATCAGAGGGGGAAATGTGTAAAGGGACATTAGGCCATGGCCTCCATTAACTGTAGAATTCTTTGCGTCAAGCTGGGTGTCCAGTGTAGATGATTCCAATTCATTTGTGTGTCTTTTTGTCAGCCTACCCTGTTTAGGTGATTTGTATTGATTAATGTACTTTTTTACTCAGCTATTTTGTTTACAAATGTGGAACTCAGTTCAATCAACTAAGCATAAACAGTGTTTGTATGATATTTAATAATATAGAACACAAATTAAAGAACTAGTTAAAGATTTTGGCACCTAAACTCTAATTAAACATTGTTTAATCTGAATTCATCTCCTGGGCTATATAAGATACCTCTGATTTTCCCTGAATGTGTTGTTACTGGTAGAAACTCTCTCAAAAGCAGATACACATTTCTACCTTTGGGGCTTTGTGGATATAATAGCTGCTTGATGTCAGAGGCCTTTGAAAGCAGCTTCCCAAGTTCTTCTTCATCTTTGCTGTTATCATCTACCGTTAGTTGAGCAGTTTTTTCTGTGTGTGTAAGGCACAGATTTGGCACATTACACCTCTTAAAACATTTATTCCTCTTAGTACCTTATAAAATAAATGTTGTGATTCTATTTCACAGATGAGGAAACCAAGGGCTTAGAGAGGTTAAATAACTTGCCCCAAGTTGCACAGATAGTAAGTAGCATATATCAATAGGGTACAGGCTGGATTGCTATAACAAAGAGACTTCAAAGTACAGTGGCTTAAATAAGATAGAAGTTCATTTCACCCTCAGAGCCCAGAAGTAAGCAGTTCGTGCGAGGTACCATCCTCAGCCTGTGTCTTCCCAGGTTGTTCCAGTCATTGTCGTTTTCCAGCCAGATAATGGAGATGAAAACACCCAGGACCCAGAACGTGCGCTCATCATTTCCACTGGCCCAAACATAATTATATGGCCATATCTGTCTGCAAAGGAGGATGGAAAATCTAGGTTGTGTATAGGCAGCCTTTGGCCCAGCCAGTACCCGGGGCATCTTATTGCTTCAGGAAAGAAGAGAAAGAATACTGTGGGGTGGTTCACAGTATCCACCACAGTGGCAAAGCTATAATTTGAACCCATTTCTAGCCCTAGACATATTTGATTTTCAACTTTAATAGAGATAAAATATCAAATTCCCTTCTAAGAATCCTCAGTTCATTTTTACAATACTTTATTTGATTCTGTTGAGTAATTCTTCAATTCATAGGGGAGGAAATGCCCAGGAAGAAAAATCCTCTCTCTGGTCATACTCTTCTTGGTATGGATAAAAAACCCACTACAATTGGTAGGTTTTGTTTATTGGGGTTTTTTTGTTTTTTGTTTTTCTAATAAGCTGAAGTTATAAAATTGCTTCACCAATTCCATTTTAAGCATCTCTTTCTTCCTCTTTTTCACCACTTGATATTCTCTGTCTGTATAAAATTGGTCTTCTTACTAACCACTTCAGTTTTCTCATAGATTAACATCTGGCCTCTACATATGGAAAGGATGCTGTTGAAAGAAACATCTCCTTGCTCCAGAATATACATATTAAAACAAGTTTACATACAAAATAATTCTGTTTCTAAACATAATATAAAATTATTTTCTCATAGGCGCATCTAGCTTGCATTGAAAAACCACACCTCAATGGGCTTTCTAGTTTCCTAAAGAGAGAGATAAATACAGACAAATGATGGTTGTGTAATTGGCAGAAATATTGGGCTTAATTTTGTCTCCCATTGCCGAGAGCCTGTAGGGAACATTACTGGTAATATATACCCAGTAGACAATTAGCAGCTCCAGTTTTAATTACCATCTCCCTAATTAGTTAAATCTGTCCCCTTGGGAATTTTGGCATTGGTAAGGGAGCAGACATCTTTTTTTCTGCTGTTTTTAGAGTATTTCTCTTGTTTCAGGGAGATGTTAGTGGTGATACCTATTTTCGTTTTTATACTTATACCCCAATTGATCTGTGATTGATTACTCAATGTTGGGTTTTTTTGGGGTGTAATTTTAGTTTCCATCCTTTTTGTTTTTTCACTATGCAATAATGCCTCAGGATGTTTGGTTAAAAAAAACACCGCAGTGAACCCCAAATCAGTTGATTTTACGATGTTTTAGCTATCTGTTACATAAAATATAGTTTTTAGCACTCAGAGACATTCTAGTCTGGAGAAATGTAGAATTTCTTGATGGTATTGATGTACAGATAATGAAGGAAGAAATTGGAGCTGTGTTCCTACAATAAGCATTATGGATGTTATCTGTGTTTCGATTCTGAATTCAAGTGATAGAACCCAATTCAAACTTGTCTGGGAAAAAAACTGGATTAATTGGCTTATATAACTGGATAATATGGGGTATAGCAGTTCTGGCCCATCCAAATCCTCAAACTTCCATAATATTTGGAGTTAGTTTCTTCTTTTGTGTTGGCTTCATTTACAACAGGTTTTTTCCTGTGTAGTGGTGATATGTTTCCTAAATGTTCCAGGGCTTATATCTTATTATCAAGAACAGGATCAGGAAAGTTTTCCTGTAAGGGCCAGATAGTAAATATTTTAGGCTTTTGTAGCTACTTAGCTTTGCTGTTGTAACTCAAAAGCAGCCATGGACAAATGAATGGGTGTGCTTGTGGTTCAGTAAAATTTTATTTACAAAAACAGGTAGAAAGCCAGATTTCAGTCATGGGCCATAGTTTGTTACCTCTGATTTATAAGTTTAGTGGAAAGAGAGCTCTATGTAATAATTCCAAAGAAGTCTCATATTTGGATTCCATTGGATTAAATACTTGGACCAGCAGAGGATGGGATAGATGAACTGATCAGACCTGACTTACCCACTGCACTAGAACTGCATATGTGGTAGGGAAGGTTGTCTTCTCCTGAGGGAAAATCAAAACATTGCCATATGAGGAAGAGGGTGGTAAACACTAGGTGGGCAAAAATGATACAGTTTCTCTCAGCTCTGATATTGATATTCCATTAAACTTTATATTTAAAGAGCTTGCTCTTTGTTACTTGGCCAAGATTGAAAACTATGCAAGTTTACCATGAAAGTCATACTTAATGGAGAAAGATTAATGCTTTTCCCTCAGAATAGGAACAAGACAAGGAAGCTTTTAGGACTCTTATTTCTCATAGTTCTGGAAGTCCTAGCCAATGCAATAGGGCAAGAAAATAAAAGCATAGAGATGTGAGTCTATAACTATTTACAAAAACTCAACAAGCTACCTAGTCAGATAAAGTTTTGAAATAATTCTGCTATATTTTCTTCACATTCTATTAAATCTGGATTGACAAGCTGTAGAATCACCACTGCAGCTATGTAAGTTTTTGTTTTAATCTTCTGTGGCCATTGTCTAAGGCTTGGGAATAGACAACTTTCCATATTAAATTGACATGGAAATCTTAGTTCAAGGTGCATAAATACTATAGCTAAGAGAATTTTAGAGACAGCAGATTTTCTTTTGTCAGTTCTTAATAACTAAAGTTATCTTTCCTTTTCTCTTTGCATGTTGCTATTAAGCATGTTTGCTAAAAGCAAGCAGATTAGAATCACTATCAACCTACCATCATTGCCAACTCATACACACCCAACCTGGAGTATTTATTATTCTCTCTCTACTATGGAAAGATGACTCACCAAGTCAGTGATACTAATAGGGTAACTTGGAGCCTGAGAACTTGGATCAGCCTCTTTAAACTTTGTTCTCATATAGTTAGTTCTTAGCTGTGTTTAATGGTGTCTGTCTATAACTGCTGCTATTACTTCATTATTTTAGAGGTATTAGTCCTTCATCACTTCTCAAGGATTCTTTAGTAAAATATTTCTCCACTTTAGGCCAGTTCTTGAAAACTCTTTTGACAGTGAGAAGGGTAGAAGTTTGGCAGATACCAGAACGATGTGGAATTAAATTAGGAAGATAAGAAACAGGTGGTGTAGCATCAAAGATTGTGTGAAAATCCATATATTAATTTGAAACTATGAAGTTGCTACCTTCGTAGGTCAAAAATGGCCAGTCACTGGTGATTTCATATGGCTCAACCTCCTTAGCCGTGGAGCAGAAAGAAGCACATACCTAGGCCAGTATCATACCCTTATTTATATAAGAGGGAATGCTATATAAAAAAGTCAGTCAGATTGATTTGGGGTAGATAATCCAGGTCTCCTAGCTTCTAGCTCTGTGGTATTTTTACTACAATATACATACTGCT